ACCACTACCACAACAACAACAACAACTACTACTACTACTACTACTACTACTACTACTCTACTACTACTGCTACTACTACTACTACTACTACTACTACTACTACTACTCTACTACTACTCTACTACTACTCTACTACTACTACTACTACTACTACTACTGCTACTACCACTTCTACTACTGCTACTACTACTGCTACTACTACTACTACTACTACTACTACTACTACTTCAACTGCAACCGCAACTGCCACTGTAGCTGCAACTGCTGCTCCTACTACTCCTACTACGACGACGACGACTGCTACTACTACTACTACTACTACCACCACTGCCACTGCAGATGTTGCTGCTGCTACTGCTACAGCTGCTCCATTGCTACTAATTTAATCCTCTGCTGCTACTGCTACTGCGACTGCTACTGCAACTGCTACTACTACTGTCGCAACGTACACCAACTGCAACAACTACCGCTGCTGCTGCTAGTGCTACTTAGTACGACGACTATGGCCAACATCGCGACCACGACCACTGCCACTACCCCTGCTGCTACGCTCAATCCCAGCATCACCACCCGCCACGTAACCTCAGCAGCGTCGTGATCAGTGACATCACAGCCAGCAGCAGCTGCAGCCGCAAAATATGTATCGTTATCATCTTCTTCTTCGTCATCATCGTCATCATCTGAAGCTATAGGCGGCAAATGTGACAACGATGACTCACTAAATCAGAATGCCTAAGTTCAAACGAGATGTAACGACGGGTGGCTGTGTAACATAATCCCTGGTGCTACTACCACGCAGCCTCCACTGATGCGAACATGATGATTCATTCAACAGCCATCTCAAACCTTGCACTGGGGGCATACAGTCATGTTGGCTGCGATCGTCCTCGTGGATACGAATGGCTCAGAGAACGATCGCTACAGAAGCTTCTATCCTGTCATCTTAGCCAAGACGGCTGACAAAAGCGGGTGTACATCTCAGGCGCTTGCCCCTGTTGCCCCAGCCTCCCGAGTCCCTCGCAAAATCAGGCCGGAGGACCACAAACTCCTGAACATCTGGGCCATTCTCTCCAATGCCTCAAGGAGCTGCAAGTGCGGTTTGGTTCTGGGCCGACGGGGAGGGTTTAGGGTTTCAGGCTTGGGGGACTTCTCAGACGTCAAGACTATGCCACCAAGAACCAAAGGTATCTTTCTTTAGTGAGGGAGCACCGAGAGAAGCGATGTTAAATCGGACTACCCCTTTGAGTCGTAACCTGGAAATAGCACGAGCACCGGACGTGTGGGAAGGACAACGCGATGCCGATATCTCGAAGTTAACTAAACCCCAAATCCTAAACCCTAGACCCCAATCCCTAAAAACACACATTTGCGACTCAGGTTGGGAGGCCAGGCGCGACAACATAAATGCCTGCCCCAACTGTTGTGCCTTCTATGGCTTTGCTTCTAGAATGAATGCAGCTGTTGCACTGAGCACCATACTAAGTACTATAAGTACTACGATATGAGCCGTGCGAATCCTATCCGTATCGAAATGCAGGCAGCACTCACGCGCCCGCTACTTCTACCACTTCGGTGCTGCTTTGATAATTTCGCTACAGAAATATGTTTTATTATGTTATGCTTACTATATCATGTTTGCTATATTACGAAAAAAAGTTATATATATATATATATATATTGTATATATATATATTGTATATATATACATATATGATCATATTATGCGTTAGTGTAACATGTTATACTGTGTCATATTGTATAATAGTGTACTGTACTGTATTGTACTATACTACATTATATGACATTATATTACATTACACTTTATAGCACTGTCTTAAAACGAAGATATTTCATAGTGAATAATATTATTACACTACACTATACTATACTTTGTTGTCTTATATCATATCCTGCGTAGTTGTAAACGGGACTTGTTCGGCCGGCCCCTGGGACCCTGAACCCGGAACAGTCACGGCCAGGGAAGCGAGGCCTTCTGCGTTGATCGGCCGGCCGTAGATGTCCACCTTTGTGCTTAGTAGGGAATGGGGGAATGGGTTATAGGGACTACTATAAGGGACCTTAAGGGACTATCTAGTAGGGAATGGGGGTATGGGTTATAGGGACTACTACAAGGGACCTTAAGGGACTATCATAGGGATCCATTCCCCCATTCCATACTAAGCACCAGACAGAAGAGGGCCAAGGCTATGCTAGGATCTCCAGAGAGCTAGCAACGAAAGGGGCGCCCTTTTTTGTTGGGTGGTTTTATCAACCTAAGAGCCAAAAAAAAGGCAAAAAAGGGCCCACCGGGCGACCCAGTGTACTGTTCCTACAAAGCACTACAAGCCAGCATGCCATGCCAAGAACGCTTGCCGGTTGAGCTACCCGCCTCTGCTGTAAACTGTCGCTTCAAGGCATATACTGTGCACTCAGGGCTTCGGTGTCTTCCTAAAGGTGAGTGTAGGCAGGCACATCCAGTCAAGTCATCATCATCATCATATCATCATCATCATCATCATCATCATAGTCATCATCATCATCATCATCATTCTGGCAGTCGTCTTTTTCGGGGAGTGTTGTTGGCGTTGGAGGTGGTGAAAGCGCCGGCGAAAGCACCACCAACCCTTGTCGTCATTTTCCCCAGAAGCCCTAAACTCTGGCCTTCCACCCTAAGCCCGAAGTCCTTAAACCCACAACCCGTCGTCATCGTAGTGGTAGGTAGAGGGAGCCCGGAGCAGTAGCGGGGGCTTTTGAGTTGTTTCTTGAGCTCCTGTTTCCCTGTTAGGAGTCCTAGACCTCTACACCCTAACCCCGAAACCCCTAAACTCCTTAACCCAAACCCCTAAACCCCTGAACCCTAAACCCAGAACCCCTGAACCCTTACCCATATATCTTAAACCCCTAAACCCCGAAGTCCTTTCTACTTGGAGGTTCATGGGTAGTTGTAAGTAGGGTTATAAGTAGGGTAACTATAATTATAACCCATATTAGGGGGCTCATAACCCCACTCATAACAACCCATGAACCTCCAAGTAAGGCCCAAGTGGTTCATTGACAACTTCCCGCTGCAGGGCCTCTGCTGCGACAGTGGTGCTCGGCCTGGGGAAACGATATCATCAGAGGGTTTAGGGTTTAGGGTTCAGATTTTAGGTTTTAGGATTTAGGGTTTAGGTTTTAGGGTTTAGGATTTAGGGTTTAGATTTTAGGTTTTAGGATTTAGGGCTCAGGGTTTAGCGTTAGGGTTTACGGTTTAAGGTTTAGGGTATAGTGTACTGTGCTACAGTATGTTATAGCAATGCACCGTTGATCATCGTAAGTTATTGTATATCATAGTATATCAAAGTACATCATGAATCAATGCGGTATGGGTATTTCTCTGTATTAAGGCCCCTTCTCAAGTCCCCAAAATAGTACGGCACCCCTATAATCAGGACCCCAACAGGGACCCTAATTAAGAGAACTACTCATATATAAGTCTAGGGTTCAGGGTTTAGGGTGTCCACCCTAAACCCTAAACCACCCCAAACCGTAAACCGTGTCCCCGTGACCTGAGGGAGCTGTTTGAAGCTGCTTGCCGAACACATCAGCCACTGTGAATAGCATAGGGGTGTCTTGGAATAGACTATGCTCCGCAAACACTCTAGACCCTAAATGATCCCTCATTGAAAACCAGGGTAATATAGGGGCCTTTATAAGTAGAATTCATCAAGGCACCCCAAAATAGTAATGGTAATTATTTAGGCTCCTATTTTGCCCTCAAACATCCCAAACCGTACTTCCTGTGCTACATACTGTTTCAGCTCGTGAGTTCCGCTTCTTGTGTGACATACTAAAGGGGGCCTGGATAATGACAAATTCTATTGTAGGGCTTCTCATCTGAAGTATGGTACAATATGCCCCAAAGGCCCACAACCCTAGTCCAAATCTTAAGCCCCCTATATAGTATTATTTGCACAGACTCGCTGTGGCCCGGGGTCAACATGCTAGTCTGTCTCGTGATTAGTATGGAATGGGGGAATGGGTTATAGGGACTACTATAAGGGACCTTAAGGGACTATCTAGTAGGGAATGGGGGTATGGGTTATAGGGACTACTATAAGGGACCTCAAGGGACTATCATAGGGATCCATTCCCCCATTCCCTACTAAGCACCAGACAGTAGTATGGCTTTGAACGGGAGACTCCCAGAAGCCTCAAAAGATCTCAGGCTGCCTCAATAATTAGAAGAGGGTTTTGGGGTATAGTATAAAATAATTGTGA